CATTTATATTAACTCAAAAAATAAACTTAAAGGTAATGCAAATAGAATTACCGAATTAATGTAATTCGCAAACAAAAATACAACGGGAAAGATGGGAATACAGAATGAGATTAAAATAAACCCAACTAAATCAAGTGGCCAGAGTTGTGAGAAAAAATAAAACAAAAATAAACCGGACAAACCGAAATTCTCAAAGTATACAAAAATTTGCCGTTAAAAAGTGACACAGAAAAGTGACGCACACGAAAGCTGAAGAAGCCGCCGGCGGCGGCGGCAAACAAAACGAAGAGCAAATAAATAAAATCACACGGAAAGACAATTAGAAAGCCCCCAGTTAAATTTGACACAAATTAAAAAAACCCGAAAAAGGACAAAATGCGACAAAACCAACAGCAACAAAAGTTCCATCAAAACAACCGGGCCGGGACTAATGCCCAGCAAAGCTTAGTGCAAAATAGCCGCTGGGAAACTTCTCACTTCACTGTGTGGCAATTTGCGGTGAAGATGATGATGGTGGGGGCAGTGGTTGTGTGTACCTTCCAATAAAAAAAGGAACCCAAACAAAAGGACTGGACCAAATGTTTGCCACCGTACAAATGCTTCACCTAATTTTTCCCCCTTTTTTGTTCCCCGGAAAAGTTTATGGCTCAAAAACAGAGCTGGGGGAGAAAATTCCAAATAAATTTCACGAATAAACAACATAAACGACAAAGTTGTCATTATGCAAATTTTTCACAAGGTATTTAAAAAGTTGTTTTGTGAATAGCCATAAAAAACGCAAGTTGGAAGGAAAAAAAAATTATGGACTAACAATTCGCCGGTCTGGCGAGCTGTTGTTGTAGTTGTCAAACCCCATAACTGCAAAATGAAATTAACAACATAAATGGCAAACAACGACACAGTAACAAATATTTTTGTCTTTGGACAGGGTCCAATTTGAGAAAGTAGGGTAATTTGCTGTGTGTTGTAATTGTAGCAGCTGGAAAGTGGAGTTATGGGAAGCATTTTGTCCAGAGTTTTTGTGTGTGCTTTTTTAACAAGTGGAACATAAAATTAACAAATCAAATGGAAGGATTTTGTGTTAAACAAATACATTCACAATTTTAGTAGTTTGTGTTTAAAAGTTTAGTCTCTAAAATACCGAATATCGGGAGATACATTTATATGAGGGCTATAAGAAGACGTGGACCTGGATACAAAATTCCTAGGCATAGGTAGTACCCATTACAATGTTTGAATACGAAATTTGAAACAATTCGGTTGAATGATGTTGCTAAAGTCATGAAAATACCGAATATCGGGAGGTACCGTTATATGGGGGCTATACGAAAACGTGGACCAACAGTAATAAATACATCTACAATTTTAGTAGTTTGTGTTTAAATCTATTAGAATCCTGAAATGTTTAAGCACTCTGGATTATTAGATAGATGCAATATCTATCCTGAATGCTTTCCTAATCATTAAAGTATTTTTAACGAAACACACACACACAATTAAACAATATTCTTATAAATTCCACGATCTTTTTAAATGGAGTTTTTAAACCTGATGTATACAGGGTGAGACAAAAAAAACTGCAACAAAGTCAAACGCCATAATTTTTACTTTTTTTATACCCTCCACCATACTATGGACGGTATATTAACTTTGTCATTCCGTTTGTAACTCCTTGAAATACTCATGTCATATCCAACAAAGTATATATATTCTTGATCAGCGTAAAATTCTAAGTCGATTTAGCCATCTCCGTCTGTCTGTCTGTCTGTCTGTCCGTCTGTCTGTTGTAATCACGCTATCTTTCGAACGAATTGAGATAGAAGGGTAAAATTTTGCACACGTGTTTATTTTTCCAGTAGGCAGGTTAAGTTCGGTAATGGGCCATGCAGGTCCACGTTTTCATATAGCCACCATATAGCGGTACCTCCCTATATTCGGTATTTTGATGATATTAGCGACATTATTCACCGGAATTGTTTCAAATTTGGTATTTGAGATTCGTAATGGATGCTACAGCCTATGACAGAAAATTATCTGTGAAGGTCCACGTCTTCGTATAATTATCTTGTTTTTTTTATCTTGTTTAATTTTATTTGATGAAAGCACAAATGTCGCATCAAATTATAGAATATGTTTAGATTTGTTGGAATTGACCACCTTTGGCACGAATTATGGCCTTCAAACGGCCAATGAAACCGTCAACCCGAATGTTGCTCTGCGGTATGTTGGCCCACCCCCGGTGAAGCGCTTGCTTGAGGTGATCAACACTTAAGTATTTTTTAGTGCCAACCTTGCTTTCCAAAATACTCCAGACACAAGAGTCCAACGGATTGGTATCCGGAGATTTTGGTGGTCATTGTACGCTGGAAATTAAGCGAGAAACCTCATTTTGTAACCATTCTTGGGTGGTGCGTACTAAGTGCAATGGTGCTTAGTCCTCTTGGAATTCCAATGCCTGCTGCCAAAATGTTTGCGCGTTCAAGGCTTTAATACACCATCCAAGGCTTTAATACAGCGTCCATCGGCTGTTATGGCGACCCACACCATCACCATGGCCGGCGCTTGAGTTTTGGTGGCTGCTGGACAACGAATGTTTTCTCATAGGAAAAAACCAAATTCGGCAGTTCACCACTTTTGGCCAAGCGAAGCAACTCTTTTGCTCTTTTAAGTCTATTTTCTTTCTGTTGCGGTGTAAGTTCTTGCACTTTTTGGAATTTCAATGGTGTTACCCCGAGCTCATTTTTCAATATTTGCCGAATGGAATATTGCGATATGTTCAGCTCACGAGCCATTTTTCGGACACTGCAATGCAGGTTTCGATCAAGTCGCTTCTTTACTTTTCGAACCATTTCTGCTGATGTTGCTGTTTTCTTCTGTCCATTTCCTCGACGTCGGGCAACGCTACCAGTATCACGGCAACGAGCGATGGTACGAGGCATAAAAGATTTATTCACATTTAAATGCTGGAGTGCTCTAACAATAGCCACTTGTGGTTTTCCAGCCAAATATAAAGAAATCACGCTTGAATTCCATCATGAATAACTTTTTTTCTGGATTAACTTCTCACCAAAATGCTCTTGTACGCTTGTAAACAATATAATGAGCTGTCACTGGAAAAATTTTAAGAGCTGTCGGACAAGTGGCTTAGAAATGACAGCAGTCTGAAGTTGGTTGCAGTTTTTTCATTTCACCCTGTATATTGTAAGGAATAATTGTCAAGGTTGTCCAGGAAAAATCCTAGTCGTTTGTACGGGAAGTCGCTGTTAAAATCAGATTTTTGTATGGGATGTCCTTAAAAAAATTAAAGATTTTCCAAGAATATTTTAAAATAAATTTGTGCGGGAATTCCTTAACGGCTACAAAATCAGGAACATTTTTAGTTCTTTGTCCATTTCAACCCCTAAATATACGGCAGAAATCTTTGAAAACAATCGACCTAGTCCTTCTGAGCCTAACTCTACCTTTGAAAAATTTCGTGAGGATCGGACGATAATTGCAATCCGTATATAATTACCCCAACCTGTGTTGTAAAGTGAAAAAATATTACAAAATATACATTTCAATATTTTAAATCAAAGTGAAAACATGAAAAAATATCACGAAATACAAAACAATTTATATTAACATCACTATTGGCTTCTTTTTATGTGAATTTTTAGATTTTATTTTTTATGCCAAGATTGACAAAGTTTGTCAAAATCGGTCGAGCTATTCTTGAGATATAAGCATTCTACCTAACATCCCTTTCCTTTGCATATACACATTACATATATTTCGCTATATATATCCGACATATTTACTATCGGCATCTACGTAACGGTCAGAATTTTTGTGATTTCGCCGGGACTAAAAATATTCTCGGTTTAATGGAAAATTTTACTTTTATTTAACACCCACTAAATATTACCCAGTGACCATCCAAATTGGAACACTTTTGCTCAGACCTAAGCTCTAGCCCCATGCTAACTTCCACGTCGATTGTTCTATAATTGCGACCTGTAGATTAACTGAAAAATTAGGAAAATTTTTATCTCCAAAAGCAATAAGCTTCTATTCTGACCATAACCCCGCCTCCATGCAAAATTTCATGAGAATCGGGCCATGATTGCGACTTGTAGTATTATTACAAATTAATATGGACGACGGACAGACGGACGAACATACATAGAAAGATCGACTCAGCTGGGCGATATAGGAAGATTCATATATACTTTCATATGTGGAAAAGCTATATTTCGAGGTGTTAGATATTTTTTGGCCCAATCAGACTTATAGTACCCCCAACATATAATTCTATGTCGATTTAGCGATGTCCATCGTCTGTCCACCTGTCCATCTGTGGAAATCACTCTAGTTTTCGAACAAAATCAAGTAGGTTGATAAAATTTTGTTCAAATGTGTATTATGTCTACAGGACTTTTGGTATTGAAAATGGGCCATGTAGCTCCACATTTTGGTATAGCCCCCCTATATAACGGTACATCCCTATTTTCGATATTTTGGTTATTTAAGCGACATTGTTCACCGGAATTGTTTCAAATTTGGTATTTGAAGTTTGTGGTGGGTACTACAGCCTATGACAGAAAATTGTCTGTGCAGGTCTACCTCTTCGTATAGTCACCATATAACGGTACCTCCCGATATTCGGTATTTAGATGATTTCAGCGACATTTGCAGGTCCATGTCTTCCAATAGCCCCAGTATAGTCGTACTTCCCTATATTCGGTATTTAGATGACCCTAATATAACGGCTACATTCGATATTGTTAAGATTTTTACAGAATTATTAACCGATTTTTTTTATTTGAAAATTGTCAAATTCGTTCGACCCGGCCGATCTTACAACCTTTTTACTTGTGTTAAGCTAAAACCTATTATTGTATGGATAGGCATGTGTGCAATTGCAATTAATCATATATTTCCTCTAATAAATGAATTTGTTTTTTTTTTTTTCAGCAAAACAACAGAACAAAAGAGAGACACAAAAAATGAGGTAAGAATTACAAATCAAAATTAAAAATCAACTTTATTTTGATGCCAAATTGACAATTGCAAAAATCTATTACTTTACAGATTTTAATTTTTTAACTAATAATTTTCGTTTACTAGAAATCGACTTCTTTGCCAATCCAACACTTGTATCTGTACTCATAAAACGCATAAAATTTTTCTTGTGGCGTAGAAGCTTTCCAACCCCCTTCTTCTTTTTGGAAGGAACACAATGTTTTGACATCTTACTCTCAATTTTAGATACTTCCATATTTTCAACATTAGAATTTGATGTACTTTGGGTATTTTTTCTCACTGCTATCTTGTGAGGAATATTCTTCGTTGTTTCTGTTGAAGCATTCGATGGATTTTCCATCATTAATGGTTTTTTGGCTGATAATTTCTTTTTCACCATGCCCTTCATCAATTTTGTGGGATCACTGCGAAATGCCTTTGCCGCTTTGGCTATGGAATCGAAATTACCGAAAACTTCCAAAATACTTTTGTTGACATATTCCAGATAGCACAGCGATGAATCACAAACACTGCATTTGGATTTGCCCTGATGAGCGGTCGCCGCATTGGTTCGTATCAAACTTTCCAAATAGAGAAAATTCTTGGCCATATTTTCGCAGTGTGGACAGTGGTTTGCGGCCGTCGTAGTTGGATTTAAGGAATTCTCTTTTGCCTGCATTTCAGTTAGACCCGCTTTTTGATAGAAATTATTGGTGGAATTTTGTGGAACCACATAGCTCGGCGGCTGGACTTCTTCGCCCAAACCAATAAATTTCCTTACGACTGAAATTTTGTTTGTTTTCTCCAACATGATATTTATTTTTTTGTTTGAATTCGTGTTGTCTTTTTTTTTCGTTTTGCAGTTATTAAAATTTCTAAAAATATTCCCCTGACGCATAAATCAATGCCAAATTTTCAAGGTTTTTTTTTCCCCATTTTCTCTTTCTGTGATGACACACAGTATTAATTATCTGGCATTTTTGTGACATTTCCATCTTAACACTGCAGGACAAACATATTCGCAGAACATGTTGACTCTGTGGGGAGTTTTTGCTCGTTTCGTTTCATTCTATTCTGCTGTTTTATGTGATGAAGTCTTCGTTCGGTGTTTTATGTGATGAAGTCTTCGTTCGGTGTTTGGTGCCGTGTTGTCGTTTTTTTTTTTTTTTTTTTTTGGTTTTCGCTTTCCACTTTCAATTCCATTTGCATTACATGCCAGTTAAATTCGTTTCTATGCTCCCATATGGATGAACGCGGTTGACAAGCGACAACGTGTAAATGTAATTGCCTTCATCAGCTTTGAATTTAGACTCTTACACAGGCACACACACACACAGATACATACACACCCACACATACACACACCAAAACTACATGTGAGCACATTGATGTACTTTGGCATCAGAGTGATTGAAGTTTTTGGTTCTAATGCTATTCACAGTGGAATTTGAGTGTGCCGAATCGATATGGGTGTGCGAATTTTGATATATTGGAGAAATTGATAGTAGATATAACTCATGTGTGTTTTGGAAGAGCTTTCATTTCTGATCTAAGGCAGCAAATGCGGAAATACATTAGAAAGGTATGGGAGAGTTCGTGTTAGGTACTTTTATATCCTCCACCATATTATAGAGGGTATATTAAGTTTGTCATTCCGTTTGTAACACCTCGAAATACACATTTTAGACCCCACAAAGTATATATATCTTTGATCAGCATAAAATTCTGTGTCGATGTAGCGATGTCCGTCCATTTGTGGAAATCACTCTAGCTTTCGAAGTACATGAAGTAAGTTGATAAAATTTTACTCAAATGTATATTATGCCTGAAGGACTTTTGGTATTGAAAATGGGCCATGTAGGTCCAGGTTTTGGTATACCCGCCATATGACGGTACCTTCCGATATTCGGTATTTTGATGATTTTAGCGACATTATTCACAGGAATAGTTTCAAATTTGGTATTTGAAGTTCGTAATAGATACTACAGCCTAAGACAGAAAATTGTCTGTGCAGTTCCACATCTTCGTATAGCCCCCATATAGCGGTACCTCGCGATATTCGCTATTTTCAAGATTTTAGCGACATAATTCACCGGAATTGTTTCAAATTTGCCATTTGAAGTTCGTAATGGATACTATGGCCTATGACAGAAAATTGTCTGTACAGGTCCACGTTTTGGTATAGCCCCATATAATAGTACCTCCCTATATTCGGTATTTTGATATATAAAGGCTACATTCGGTATTTTTAAGATTTTAACAAAATTTTTAACGTTTTTTTTTAAATTGTCAAATTTGTTTCAAGTGGTGGAGGGTATTCAAAAATCCGATCTTACAGCTTTTTCACTTCATAATACACAAAATACATAATTTACCTATTTACCTACACATTCATTATCAAATTTCAGATTGCTAGCACTTTCTTTTAGTGAATTTTAGTACTTTTCGAAAACCTTTAGTTCGAATTTCCTAAACCAAGTTGATCGGAAACTTGTGTTGTCGAATGTCGACAAGTGTGGGAGCTCAGGAATTACGATATTTTTGTCCGGAGTGACGCTGGTATTCAGAATGTTAACGATTTAAAGGTAATAGGAAACTTTTGATTTGTGAACATCATCAACCGTGGTCGGAATGTTGATGTCCAGGTATAACCAACGAGAAGATGTTTTTTTTTAATATTTTTTCAAGGACCAATAGGACCCGGATTTTTTCAAGGACAAACATGTAGCCGATGTTTTAAATTTATGTTTTCAAGGTCCAACAGGAAGTCGATGTTGTAAAAATATTTTTCAAGGACCAACAGGACTGGGATTTTTAAAGATTTTTTTAAGGACCAACAGGACGTCGATGTTGTAAAAATGGTTTTCAAGGACCAACAGGACGAGGATTTTTTAAAGAATATTTTTACAAGGACCAACAGGACGTGTACTTTTTAAAGAATATTCTTTCAAGGACCAACAGGATATTCTTTCAAGGACCAACAGGATATTCTTTCAAGGACCAACAGGACGTAGATTTTTAGCGAATATTCTTTTAAGGACCATCAGGACGTAGATTTTTTAAGAATGTTGTTTCAAGGACCAACAGGACGTAGATTTTTTAAAGATTATTCTTTCAAGGACCAACAGGACGTAGATTTTTACCGAATATTCTTTCAAGAACCAACAGGACGTAGATTTTTTAAAGATTATTCTTTCAAGGGCCAACAGGATATCCTTTCAAGGACCAACAGGACGTAGATTTTTAAAGAATTTTCTTTCAAGGTCCAACAGGATGCAGATTTTTAAAGAATATTCTTTCAAGGACCAAAAGGACGTAGATTTTTAAAGAATATTCTTTAAAGGACCAACAGGACGTAGATTTTCTAAAAATATTTTGCGATATCCGTCCATCCAAGTCAACGTCTTCGTATAGCCCCCATATGACGGTACCTTCCGATATTTGGTATTTTGATGATTCTAGCGACATTATTCACCGGAATTGTTTCAATATTGGTATCTAAAGTTCGTAATAGATACTACAGCCTAAGACAGAAAATTGTCTGTGCAGTTCCACATCTTCGTATAGCCCCCATATAACGGTACCTCGCGATATTCGGTATTTTCATGATTTTTGCGACATAATTCACTGGAATTGTTTCAAAATTAGTATTTGATGTTCGTAATGGATACTATGGCCTATGACAGAAAATTGTCTGCACAGGCCCACGTTTCGGTATAGCCCCATATAGTAGTACCTCCTTATATCCGGTATTTTGATGATACAGATCGACGTCGTCGTGCAGACCCTAATATATCGGTATTTTTAAGATTTTAACAAAATTTTTAACGTTTTTTTTTAAATTGTCAAATTCGTTTCAAGTGGTGGAGGGCATTCAAAAATCCGAACTTATAGCTTTTTTACTTCTTAATACTCAAAATACACAATTTTTTTCAGTTTGACAAATTTTTCTATCAAAATTTTGCACATCGTACTAGATTTTCAGAATTTATAGATTTTATATATAATTTAAGTTTTCCATTTTCCGGAAAAAATAATAAAAAAATGCTTACTTTTTACGCCAACAAATATTTTAAATCTTTCACTTTGAAGTTTAGCGAGAAGGATATTAGTAAAATCCTTGCACAATGCTGCCATGTCCAATTTTTCTGTCCAAACCTCTTTCAATGTCTCCATACGTAAAACCTAGAAACCAACAGAGACCTCAATATAAAATTTCAGAATTTCAGCTCTATCCCTTTACCCAATGCCAAATTTATTAATATTTAGTACGCATATCCACAATAATCTACATCTCCCCATCCCAGATATCAACAGTAATGCAAAATTAGTACCATATTGTACTCTCAGAATAATTATAGTACACATTTGAAAACCAACTTCGTACCGGAAATCCAGAGACCTCAATATCAAATTTGAAATATCACCCAATATCAAATATAGAACCATTTTGTACTTTTCGCACAATTTTAGTACACATTTCCGAAAACACCTCCATTTGTCCAGGCTACACATTCATTATCAAATTTCAGATTGCAAGCACTTTCTTTTAGTGAATTTTAGTACTTTTCGAAAACCTTTAGTTCGAATTTCCTAAACCAAGTTGATCGGAATCTTGTGTCGTCGAATGTCGACAAGTGAAGGAGGTCAGGAATTACGATGCTTTTGTCCGGAGTGACGCTGGTATTTGGAATGTTAACGATTTGAAGGTAATAGGAAACTTTTGATTTGTGAACATCAAGACTGACGAGCGGTAGACAATCAGTAGTCGGAATGTTGATGTCCAGGTATATTTTTTCAACGTCCAACAAGAAGATTTTTTTTTAAATATTTTTTCAAGGACCAATAGGACGCTTATTTTTTGAAGGACAAACATGTCGCCGATGTTTTAAATTTATGTTTGCCAACAGGAAGTCTATGTTTTAAAACCATTTTTTCAAGGACCAAAGGACGTGGATTTTTAAAGAATTTTTTTTAAGGACCAACAGGTCGTCGATGTTGTAAAAATATTTTTCAAGGACTAACAGGACTTGGATTTTTAAAGATTTTTTTAAGAACCAACAGGACGTCGATGTTGTAAAAATATTTTTCAAGGATCAACAGGACTTGGATTTTTGAAAGAATATTTTTTCAAATAATTTTTACAAGGACCAAGAGGACGAGGATTTTTTAAAGAATATTCTTTCAAGGACCAACAGGACGTGGATTTTTTAAAGAATATTCTTTCAAGGATCAACAGGACGTAGATTTTTAAAGAATATTCTTTCAAGGACCAACAGGACGCGGATTTTTTAAAGAATATTCTTTCAAGGGCCAACAGGACGTAGATTTTTAAAGAATATTCTTTCAAGGATCAACAGGACGTAGATTTTTAAAGAATATTCTTTCAAGGACCAACAGAACGTGGAGTTTTTAAAGAATATTTTTAGCGAATATTCTATCAAGGACCAACTGGACGTAGATTTTTAAAGAATGTTCTTTCGGACCAACAGGACGTAGATTTTTAAAGAATATTCTTTCAATAACCAACAGGATATTCTTTCAAGGACCATCAGGACGTAGGTTTTTAGCGAATATTCTTTGAAGGACCAACAGAACGTAGATTTTTAAAGAATGTTCTTTTAAGGATCAACAGGACGTAGATTTTTAAAGAATATTTCAAGGACCAATAGGATATTCTTTCAAGGATCAACAGGACGTAGATTTTTAAAGAATATTCTTTCAAGGACCAACAGGACGTAGATTTTTAAAAAATATTCTTTCAAGGACCAACAGGGCGTAGATTTTTAAAGAATATTCCTTCAAGGACCAACAGAACGTAGATTTTTAAAGAATGTTCTTTCAAGGACCAACAGGACGTAGATTTTTTAAAAATATTTA